TGGCCTTTATTTTTTAATGGCGGGGTATCAGTCAAGCTTGCTCTACCAACCCAATTCCCTATACATTTACAAATATCCATGCTCAAACCCGGATTCGCACCAGGGCCCTCGAGCTTTGACTCCACTGATGCATCAAACTGCCGCTTTTATAATTTTTGTCTGTTTCTATTATGTATCAGTAACTGCATTTTTTGTATAATTTCTTCGTCCATTCGTTCTCCAGATCATACTTTCTGCGTTCCTTGCTAAGTTCCCATTTGTTCCGAGTGTAAAACACACTTTACTGAACTAATCAGCGAAACTATGACATTAAAAAGAGAACGCGAGAGATTAGAAAAGGAAAAATGGACCATTTGATGTTCTAAGGAAACAGAAAGTGGCTTACAACTGACGGAGCAGATTAGAGTGATCCTTAGAGATACGGGGCTAGACCCGAACTAAAGCTAGGCTTTCCTCAAGTCACAGAACCACAGAATATATATACTGCTTTGACGGCCGCACTTTTCTCGCTACTTTTGTGACTTTTGTGTAGAATGTAAGGCGGCAGACCGTCACATTTGTCAAATTGAATACTGAAAACCTTACACCCCAAATGAGAAAAAGCATTCGCTAAATACTAATTTATACCGAATCAGTTTATATACAATTAATTTTTTCACGTATCCAAACAGTTGTGACCTACTATCATCTACTTGTTGTATAAACATTTAATAATAATTAATGTGCATTAATTTACGGAAAAGCTCAAAATTACGGTACTTACGAAATGTAACTTGCCATGGTTCAAAAGAAAAAAGATCCCCTCTAAACAAGGGCTTTAGTTTTTACAATTGTGAGGCTTGCAGACGTCCTAAAAATCGGTAATTGGTCCTAACATTTAAATTAATTAAGAGCGCTCCTCACGACCTAATCGCATGCTGTTTACTGCATTTCATTTAGCGAATCATTGCTACTGACCATTACAGTACCAGATTATGTGGAATCCATTACTTTTGTATTGATGAGAAGTGTTTATAATAATAGTTAATAAAATTGATATAGTATATTAAGTATGGGGAACGGTAAAGGATTTTTACCGTTCGAAGACAATTGTTTGGAGGAGGAGCGAAGCGACGACTCCAATTATTGTCTGAGAACGGTAACCCTTAACGTTCGACGTGCTTATAAAATTTTTTGCGCGATCGAAATTAAAATTATGCAATAACCAATATAAATATGCACTAAGAAATTAACGAGCAGAATAAATCGAAATGATCGAAGTGGTATGGTGTACATCACTAGGCAACCAGTTTAAATGTCAAAATTGAAATTAATAATTTCATAAAAATGTGCATGTGTCTGATGTAGTTTACTAGCTTTGCACTTCCTTTATGACTTTATGAGCGTCTTGCTATAGGAAAAACAGCACAAATTGTACGTTTAATTTACCTAACAATAATTTAAGATTAAATGTAATGTAAGACTGTTGATTTTTAAAAAGGCGTCGGTAAGTATTTTTGCTGTTCTGTTTTTAGCTCGGTAAGTAATTTTGGCGTCGTCGTAATCATAGTAACTGGTAAATTCTACGTACTGTCATGGAAACACCCATGGTAAATAGTCAGAAATGACCGATCGCGCAAAATAGTATATTAAGTATGGAGAACGGTAAGGGATTTTTACCGTTCGAAGACAATTGTTTGGAGGAGGAGCGGAGCGACGACTCCAATTATTGTCTGAGAACGGTAACCCTTAACGTTCGACGTGCTTATAACATTTTTTGCGCGATCGAAATTAAATTTATGCAACCAATATAAATATGCACTAAGAAATTAACGAGCAGAATAAATCGAAATGATCGAAGTGGTATGGTGTAAATCACTAGGTAACCAGTTTATTTGTCAAAATTGAAGTTAATAATTTCATAAAAATGTGCATGTGTCTGATGTAGTTTACTAGCTTTGAACTTCCTTTATGACTTTATGAGCGTCTTGCTATAGGAAAAACAGCACAAATTGTACGTTTAATTTACCTAACAATAATTAAAGATTAAATGTAATGTAAGACTGTTGATATTTAAAAAGGCGTCGGTAAGTATTTTTGCTGTTCTGTTTTTAGATCGGTAAGTAATTTTGGCGTCGTCGTAATCATAGCAACTGGTAAATTCTACGTACTGTCATGGAAACACCCATGGTAAATAGTCAGAAATGACCGATCGCGCAAAATAGTATATTAAGTATGGAGAACGGTAAGGGATTTTTACCGTTCGAAGACAATTGTTTGGAGGAGGAGCGAAGCGACGACTCCAATTATTGTCTGAGAACGGTAACCCTTAACGTTCGACGTGCTTATAACATTTTTTGCGCGATCGAAATTAAATTTATGCAACCAATATAAATATGCACTAAGAAATTAACGAGCAGAATAAATCGAAATGATCGAAGTGGTATGGTGTATATCACTAGGTAACCAGTTTATTTGTCAAAATTGAAGTTAATAATTTCATAAAAATGTGCATGTATCTGATGTAGTTTACTAGCTTTGAACTTCCTTTATGACTTTATGAGCGTCTTGCTATAGGAAACAACAGCACAAATTGTACGTTTAATGTACCTAACAATAATTAAAGATTAAATGTAATGTAAGACTGTTGATTTTTAAAAAGGCGTCGGTAAGTATTTTTGCTGTTCTGTTTTTAGATCGGTAAGTAATTTTGACGTCGTCGTAATCATAGCAACTGGTAAATTCTACCTACTGTCATGGAAACACCCATGGTAAATAGTCAGAAATGACCGATCGCGCAAAAAGTATGTTTAAATTATGAACACAGATTTGTTATTGTTATATTTATATTATAACAATAAATTTTTAATTAAAAATCCATGTTTTCGTATATTTCTAAACTAAACAAAAAAGGTATGATAAAAAATGTTAAAAAGAGCGTTTATAAGATGAGGGAAGGATTGTGTACATCTCTGAATTGAAATGAAGAATCTGTCAAATCTTTCATTATTAATTTTTTTTTCTTGGGAGGTAATTAATCAATTAACTTCTGATATGTCCTCTCCACATCACCTTAAAATGTTACTGTTCGCCTTATTTTAGTTATTTTGTTGGTTCTATTGTGTAAAACATTAATTTACTGTAACGGTCCTCACGCTACAGCCCCACTCTTGGATGATATTTTGTAACAGATGGCTACAAATACTGATGGTTCGCTGTGTATATTCTTCTTATCTTTTCTTTTCTTGGCGTCGTTGGTTAAGTATTTCGGAACTTATCTTAATTACACTTTTTTACTTTCTCAGGTAAATAAATGTGTTAATAATAGGAAATAATTTAGTTAATTTCGTTTTCACCGGTATCTACTTAATGTCAATAATTTTTGAGCAAAAGGTTACTTCTCTAATGATACTCCACTATACCTGGAGAATTTATTTAATTTTCATAATTTGGTATATCTCTGAATTTCGAACTTTTTATTCCTGTTGAAAGATTAATACGTTAATATTGTCTTTTTTTAAATCTAAACTTACCATTCGTAGTATGATGGACTCCATTAACAGTTTGTTGAATTTATATGTAGAATGATTAAAATTTTTAATCATTCTACATCTAAACTTATAACTAACACGTCTACAAAAATACAATGTACATAGCGAAAATACAAAAATTTACTTCTTCACGCCCAGGCCAAAAAGCATTTCTTTGTAATTGAAAATAGTTACACCCATTACAGTACTCAACAGTTACACAAATGTAGATTCTGCAGTCTGGTAGAAATACGTACCTATATGCGAGATGATAATGACGAACGCGTGAAGCAGGTTAAACAAATTGAGTTCTTAACAATATAATTTGTTTACAAAAATATGTTTGTAGGTACAAATTAGTCTTTAATTTACACGTTCCATTTGTTTTTATTAATTCTGAGAAACGCCGTTTTTTAGTAATTTTTAGTAACTTGGGTACAAATTGGTTTGTTTTTGTTTTGTTTTTGGCTTTGGCAGTACCAATAAGCCAGCCTAGTTTATAAGTAAGATTTCTTTTAAATTTTAAATTTCAATTTTATTTTGTTGTAGAAACTGGTATATGTATAAATATATCGAAATATTTTTGGATACAAATTTAAATAAAACTAAAAACTACAAATTAGTTTTTAATTCATAGTTTTTGATGCAACTAATAAAATTTCAATCGGGAAGGGTGGGGGTGCTAGCTTGCTTTCAAGTTACTACTCTAAAAATCGCTTTTCTAGCGGAACTAAGAGGATACAAAAAAATAAAAATCTAAACGTGGTTTTCAGTCAATGCAAACGACAAATTTGCAGAAAATCTATGTGGACAAATTTTTAAATTCGCATGAGTTGTGCTTTCGGCTAACTTTGGAATGCATCTCCTTTGAGTTTTACCGTGAAAATAAATTCCCTTACATGCATCTCTTTTCAGCTTGTGGTTACCCCCGTTAGCCCTTTTTCAGTAACGATGGATACTGAAAACAAGAGGTGATTATCGCTAGCGCAATTATCTCCTTTGAAGCCTTGCGGAGGTGAACAAACGTAATTACTCGACCCTAATATTTTAGTGAATTTTACAACCGCCTAATATATTCGCATGCAATCTCGCAGGCAATCTGCAAAATGTAAATCGGTTCCTCCATAAAGATGTCTAGCGATCGAGCTTTCGAATTGCACATAAGGTTAAGTTCGTTATATTTCTTCTGTCGGTTCCGTAGAAATGTGCAGTTTTTAACTCAATAACCTTATTTAATTTGGGAAAGGAAAATTTGACAAAGGCATTGTTTGACAGCAGAAAAATCCAATATTTTAGGCTTCGTGTGTAGAATAGGCGCTTGTATTTTGAGTTGGGTGATATTATAACTGTTTGTAGAAGCTTTTAACATGAAAAGCTCACAAGAACCTTATAAAAGATGAATTGCAACATTTCATTATCCGCACATTAGTTGATCTTTTTTTTCCTATAGTTCATGCGTTTCCACGAAAGTAATTTAATTTAAAATTTCAGCCTGGAACTTTTCCATTTAATGAAATGAACCCGGACAAGTTGTCTCTATTTGCTGAAACCTCAGAAGTGGTCGATAAGTTATTGATTATACAAACGTGCAAGAGTTACACGCGACGGATGGCATCACTTTAGTGGGCAGCATCTTCAACGGTGCGAAGGAGGATGATGTGATGTCCACAGCCAAACGGCTGGTGCTAAGCTGGCGAGGCCGGAAGCAGTCGCACGACAGCTCGGCCGGGAGGCTCGTGGCTCACGGTGGAAGTGCACTAGGATCTGTTGATGGACACGAACTTGACGAAATTGCGGTCGTCTCCAGCAACGCTGATCCATGTCACGTTAAATATGGAAGTGGACCTTTATCTACCATTAACGGACCCCGCCTTGTTCCAGGTGAGTTTATTTTTCACGAATTCTTGACAAGAGAAATTCAAATCTCGAAAGGTGTGTAGGTGGTGACCTCATCTTTGACACCACGAACAACGTAGGTGACATGTACCGCTGGCCAACTCTTAACAAGATGAGGTCTGTGAAATTGCAATTTATCCGAGATAGCGATTTAACCTTCATCTTGTGTAGTTGTTTGACCATTGAATGTGCTAGTGGTGAGAGAAAATCGATGCGACGGACGTAGTCCTTTTGTTAGGGTTTGTGTGGCACAATTCGTTATACAGGATGGGCTAACAATGAACGCTCGTGCTAAAGTGGAGCATTTATTCCACGTGCACAGAGTTCTAAAATCGCTTATGAGAAGGTAAAAAAAGTTCATCAAAATAATTGACTGTATTTGGTCGTTATTTATTCTTCCACTAAAGCTCTCATTTTTACCCGAAAATATTGATGTTAGTTATAAGTATTACAGGGTATTATAACACATCTCTAACTATAGAATTGCCTAAGTTGAGTTACAAATGGCTCATTCTTTATACCTACCCTAAGGTGAGAAAAATGAAACGAATTAAAATTAAAATCATCAATCAATGTCATGAAAATGAAGTAGGTATTACCAACCCTTACATCAAATGACCTACTCAAGTGATTTTGAAATTGGTGCTTGAAAGTAGATTATAAAAACCACAATGTATTTTTCACATAATTAAAATCCTAATAAATTCTTTTTCCGAATGAATTAGTACAATTTATTCGTCTGTTCAGAGAGGGATGAATATGATGTGTCAATCGTAGAAAAGGCTCAATCGCCGCCGCAGAAACGTATAGTAGAGATATGCGGGGCCCAAGTTTTAGATCTACATTAGTAATTAGGTCGACAATTGTTTTCAACTTTATCGGAAATGTTCCTGAAATTCGACCAATTCTAAGAACAGTAGAAATGTAATATAAATCCCAAATTTGATGACCACCGCATAAAACCGCCTCTGGTGACCTCTTAAATTACGTAAACCTCGGTGAAAAGTCGTTTTTATCCATTTCCAACTTCATATGGCGCTTGGAGGGGTGGGCTGAGACATTTCACCTTTGCCGTGTAACGAGTTCTCATCAGTTTAGTTCATCAATTGACCTACCATGTGAATTCCGTCGTTTTATTTGCTATTGTGTTTCAAGAACGATTCTAAATGATTGCAGACAGATGCCAACCTGGAGGTGATTGAAGGCAGTGACATTGATCCCATCATACATGAAGAAGCTGGACATGGATCTTCTGTGAAGACCACCTTGAGAGAGAATGCACCCATCAAGCATACGAAACCTCCTTATATATTGTTTATTTATTTTATTTTTTTCGGCTTTATTTTTAAGTGGGCGGGGTTTCAACCTAAACAGGCTGTCTACCAACTCAACATTTATAAAGATCCATTACCCGAACCTGGATCCGAAGCAGGGACCCAGCCATGCTCGTAGGTGTTTGTAGGCGTACTCTGAAAATAGACGAGGAATATCTACCTATTATCTATGATTATCTATTAGGATTACCCTGTACATATTTGTTCAAAGTAAAACATTTATACAGCACTGATTTATTTTTACTTCCTAATATCAACCACTATAATTATCCCTCAAGCAATCGCGAAACTCATGTGCTCCAATTCCATGCTCAATTCATTTGAGATATAGCATGCCCTCCCCCTTCTACCTATCAAAAATGGTTAAAACTGCTATGCGGTGGCTTCTATGAAGTTTGGAATTCATAAAAACGACTTTGCCGGTTTTCTATGAACGACTTTGACCTTGTTTTCTAGTCGAAATATAACATTTTGTCTGTTAGATGCAAAATTTAACCATCTACAATTTAGCACTAAGTAATATTTCAGAGAACATTTAAAGGGACTAATTTTCTGAGGATCGTATATGTTATAAATCTTAATTAATAGTGTACCTAGTATAGAAACAAAAAAAAAAGTTTTTTGGGGAGCAAAAATTCAAGGTGCTAATTTCCTCGTGGACAATTCTTTTATGTGAAATAATTTTATGGTGTACGATAGAACAATCAATTAAAGAAATAATGAAATGAAAGTGTCAATAATCCGTCGTAACTGTGATTTACAATAATTGACTCACAACCACAAAACATCGGGTGATTATTGCTTACTGTAATTACAATTATAGTATTGACCTTTTGATGGTGGACAAAACTCTTTTTAACTTGTACCGGAAAACTTCTTAATAAGTGTAAAATACGCTTCCGCTTAACTCGACTTACAACGTTCACTTAAATAATGACTTTTTAATAAACTTCACAATTAACCTTTAAAAAGCCTCGATAATGACAAAATTGACTGTCTTTCAAACAAGTACACCCAAATACGGCTACGTTTCAACGTCCAAAAAAACTCGATTCGCCTTCCACCAAAATGAAACACCACCAAACAAACGCTTGCCCAACAAAAGGCATTTTTTAACGTTCGGTTCGCTTATTTAAAACCTTTTCCCTCTCCTCACTTTCGTTTCTCCACCCTTAACAAAATAATTTCCAGATGTTTAAATCTAGTCTTTTAACACGCAATTTAAATTTACAATTACCAAAATCTTTAATTCTGATACAAAACATTGACCTGCCAATCAAATAATAAAATCGACATTGCCGTTAATCTCCAATAAATACATACATTTAACGTTACAATAATTGCAATTCATATACAGAGTGTTCCATCGTAATTGCAGGTGCCGAAACAAAATACAACGCCAACAAGACGTAATTTATACAATATTTATAAGGGTTATTGCCGGAATAAAAATGCATACAACAATATTTATAAGGGTTATTGTCGGAATAAAAATGCAACAATGGGATACAGCAGATATTCCAAGGACTAGGTCCTGAATGCGTGACCATGCTTCCTTTGAGTTTTGACTAGGGTCGAATTTCTGGGGTGAGAGCATATATTCCCTGGCCCATATGTTCCTTAAGAGCAAGTACTTTTAGGTGCCAGTACTCTAAAGCTGAGCGAATTTACAAGATTTAGTCATGATAATATGAAAACTAGGTTTTTTCCAAATTCTCTGACAAATTTTACAGTTAAAACTTTGCTACAAAAGGAATCTCATAATTTGGTGTTGTAAGTACTGAAAGAAAGTCGTCTTTGGGATCGAATTTTGTGAACGTAAATTTCAAGTCACTTCACGATGAAATATTCTTTTAGGGGGGATGGGAGTGAGTGTCGTTATTTCGTTACTCTTTGGCAATCTCGTTCTACGAAATTATCAAAACTTATTTACAATTAAATTGAACGGTATATCCTATAGGTACTGATATTCAATACAAATTGAAAAGTTTCAGAGGTCAGTGTTTTAGTGCCTTGGAAATGTTCAAGGACAATTTGATGAATATCTTGAAAGCGAATTTTACGTGGAGTCGGCGAATATTCCGAATCCCATATGTTCAGAGGGAGAGTTTTCCTAAAGGAAATTTTCTGGAAATCGACTAGTTATTAAGTGCTAGTTAATTGCTCCACCTTTAGGAATTTGCATAATAGGCAGCCGCTTGCTTGAAATTCCAATTTCGGTATTTTATTGTCCTGAAACAGAACATTGGTAACGTAAGTTCAAATTTTGACAACTTCCTGTCTAATTTCCGCTCACGCCAAAGAAAGAAAATCATTTTTTTCTTTGGCGTGAGCAATTTAATTTTACTTTTCAACTACCCTTTTCCATTAGACAGTTAAAGAAGAATAAATTTCTAAATATACCCCTTACAAGTGTAACAAGTTAAAAAGTAATCGTAAACGATTTACATAAAGCGCATTTCCACTTGCATTCATTTCCCATTTGTAAGATGCAACTTCTATAAAATCGTAAAAATCCGGCCACAAATATGAAAGATAGCGTTGCACATGGGCAATCCATTTTTGTCGTGCTACTTCAATGTCAGTTTATGAGAAGAATTTCATTTAAATGTTTTTCTAAATAAGAAAGTTGGAACTGCGCATGCGCAAACCTAAATTTTGAAACTAATGTTAGATTTTCCTTTGTTCCAAGCGCCTAAATATCAAATTTCACTTAAATGCTTCCATAGATAAAAAAGTTAGCACTGCGCATGCGCAAAATAAAATTTTGAAAGTGCGCTAGATTTTCCTTTATTCCAAGTGCCTATGTATCAAATTTCATTTAAATTCTTCCATAAATAAAACAATTGGCACTGCGCATCCGCAAAACCAAATTTTGAAATTGGCGTTTGATTTTCCTTTATCCCAAGTGCCTATGTATCAAATTTCGTTTAAATTCTTCCATAAATTAAAAAGTTGGCACTGCGCATGCGCAAAACCAAATTTTGAAATTGGCGTTTGATTTTCCTTTATTCCAAGTGCCTATGTATCAAATTTCATTCAAATGCTTTTATAAGTAAAAAATTTTGCAATTCGGTTTATAAATGGTCGAGATGCGAAAAGGGCACTGTGAATTTTGAATCGATTCGATTCAACTTTTGCCATTGCGTATTATATGGCTAAAGCTATGCCCATATTGAATTTCATGCAATTCAGTTCATAACTAACGGAGATGTAAAAGTGATCGAACATTTCTAAACAAAGTTATCGTTCACACGGACAGATAGATGGACAGACAGACAAAGAAACAGACGGACAGACCAACAGGCAGACGACAGATAGCAATGCAAAATTATAAACGATCTCTAGGATCGTTAATAAACGGCAAAAGTGTAAAATTATGGAACATGTAAAAAACGGTTTTTTGGTTTTTTTTACAATAACTTTTTTTGTAAGCGGTACAGAAAAAATTCCTTCCTTGGTACAAGACTCGACACCATAACGAACCAAATAGCGAAAAAAAGTAGAACAATAGCTCTTAAGATAAAAAACTAGTAGCGTCGCAAAGTTAGCGGACGGACGGACGGACGGACGGACGGACGGACAAAGTGGCCACAATAGCGCATTTTTATTTTATTTTTGTGGAAATGCGCTAAAAAATAAAACAGACAT